CCAATAAAGAAGAATCAAATAGTGTTATCCTACTCTATATGGGGATTTGAAATTTTCAGGGTGTCGATTGCACCCAACATCTCTCAATCTATCTCTGTGTATGTGTAGACTAAATTGATGAGTCATGTGGGCAAATGCATATGGGTGGGAACATTAGGGGCCAAGCCATGGCTTCCATGTTCATAGTTTATCAAGCATATGTACCTATTGGAATTAATACATAGCTTAAATGACCTTTTTCCCCTTTGGGGTTCAATCCATTTGCTTTAATTTTGTGAAGTGATGTGCTTTTTATCTAGTTGGTGATGATAAGGTGCATGGAACCCTAAAAAGCTTAACCAACTGAGATTGGAGGACAAACTCTTTCCCTAGACAGTTGTGAGAATCTAACATTTTGGATTGCCTAGTGTTACCCCCATCAATTTTGCCTAAAATCACTAAAGTTGGCACTTACTCCATTTTCTTTTTCATATACAAGATAGGTTTAATTGGATAACATGAAGAAAAAAATTAGGGTAAACTGCGTATTTAGTTACCCACCTATTCTCACGCTTTATTTTTGGTCACAGAACTAAAAACTATGAATAAAAGTATTTGACTAAAAGTCTTATGTTCCACTTAAATTGAGTGATTCATTTCAACCCTCATCATTTTGCTCTTTTGTAAAATCACATATAATTTTCTCTTCTTCTTTTTCCTAATAAAAAGGTGCATTTAATGGTAAGTTAAACATGGGTCGAATAGTTAGTTGGCCATTCAATTGTATTTCATCTAACAATGTGGTATTTTTAGATTTGTTTTTATCAATTTAACCACTCAATTATATATTCGCCTAATAATGTGACACTTCAAAAAGATTATCCACGTGCCATCTTAACCATACCTTACGACATTTTAAAATTTTTTATCACCAATTTCAATTATTTGATTGCCTTACATATCATCCATTATTATTATAAACGAATTTGTAGACCCACAAATTAATAAATTGATAACATGTAGCATATGACTTAAAAAAAATTTAAAAAAAAATTCAACGTGGATTTTCTGTAATATATGAATGATGAAAACATTTTTTTTCAAAAATGACATATAAAATCCATGTAAAAGAAATATTTTTAGTTGCTTTTTAATATATATAAAATGTGTTACTCGTTTATTGGTTCAATAATGTGACACTTTCTAGTTGTATTGCGCGTTACCCTAACTCATTGGAACGTGTCGTACGATACATAATATAAGCCACTCCGTCGTTAATCTGTTAAAAGGACGATGACATGACATGGACGGGCCGTGACGATGAGGACGTGGATGACTTACCAAAACGACGTCGTTTTGCTTAAAAACATTAAAATAATATGCAACTTATGGGCTTTGAACCCCAAACCCCTGGATATTAAACATAATACTTAACCATCAAGCTACCTTATATTTCTTTATTGGTTTTCTATAAAAGTTTTAAAATTTTAAAACTCCAGTTAACAATGTTTGAACCCCAAATAAAATTATTGCTTAACCCCTGGCATCGATATCTAGTACCCTTTATATCCATCTTCATTCTCTTGTTTCATCACCATATCTCAAAGTTGTTGCTTTTAGTAAATTCAAGAACACACCTAGCAGATGTACAAGTTCTCAAAGATGTGAAAAATGGTATGGACCCTCATTCCATTGCTCCGGATCTTGATTGAGCTCTTGGGATTTCTCCATTGACCCATGCGACAACATCTTCACTGACCACTTCACTTGCGACCTCAGGTGTGATACACTCGTCTCTGGTTTGCTTCAAGTTCCTGACTCGTTCTCCAATTTATAGGCTCCTGGTAAATGCACATCACAAGTGCATCCAAACTCATTAAGAAACCAAAAATATCAAGGTTAAACTAGCTCCATGCCCAATGAATATACGCAATGCTGAAGCTGAGCATATGGTATTTCCAAATTACAAAGAACTTTCAATCTTGAATCCAAAATCAGATATCAGTGACTAATTGAAGATCATATGCTTACAAAGACCATTTGCCTTCAATAATAAGTCCAAATAAACAACAAAATGTACATCAATGCAACACAGTTGTTAGTTTAAACTTTACAAATGTGCAACATCTCTTCAAGGCAAAAATTAATAAAGCCAGAAGATTTTTCTAATTGCTTCAACTTGCAACAAAAACACCTTAAAATAGCACGAATACATATTCAAAGCTAATCAAAACAATAATATCCCCCACCTACCCACCCCCAAAATAGAAAGCTCCACAGCCCTTGTAATGAATATTACCACCCGATTCACTAACCATATCACCATAGGAAGCATCCATTGCACATTTAACCAAATGAGTTTTTTGCATCTTCCACCTTCTGATAGAAACTGCCCACCTATTCCTGCACATTTAACACGCTTGGGTCGACTAGGTCTCTCCGGAAACTCAGTCACCGTTGAAATACCCGCCGTTCTTGGCTCACTCCCTCACCTCTATACCTTGACAACAACCATCTCCATGGACCAATTCCTCTAAGCTTTAACAACCTAACACGCTTGAAACGACTCGAAATTCAACGAAACTACATTTCCGGTGAGTTTCCTGATCTGGGTTCACTCAGAAAGCTTTACTTTCTCGACGCTGGCGATAACAACGTATCCGGCCAAGTCCCATCAACGTTTCCAGTATCTCTCGTCGAGCTCTCGATGAGGAACAATATCCTAGACAACATCGACAATAGTCACAATATTAGGTTCTTACAAGTTCTAGATCTCAGTCACAACATCTTATACGGTGCAATATCATCAGTTTTTTTCAAGCATCGTTAAAAACTTTTATAGAAAACCCAACAAAGAAATATAAGGTAGCTCAATGGTTAAATATTATAATTAATATCCAAGGGTTTGGGGTTTGAATCCCATGAGTTGCATATTATTTTAATAATTTTTTAAGCAAAACGACGTAGTTTTGTCTTTATTGAGCATCAAAATAATTGTGTTGAAACGACGTCGTTTTGGTAAGGCATGCACGTCATCACCGTCACGGCCCGTCCATGCCATGTCATCATCCCGTTAACGGATTAACGACGGAGTGGCTTAATTGGAGTAAAAACATAAACGTCAGTGCTTAAATTGGCAAAATTGAAACGTTAGTGACATTTTCGAGTCAGCGCCTAAAGGTGAGTGGTATTTGACATAGATTACCCTAAAAAAATCAATTATTTCTTTAAAGTTTGAGCGTTTGTAGAACCATTAAACCTTTTGTTATGTACATTTTAACATTGGTAAAATTTTAAAATTATTTTTATAGATATTCCTAAAAAACTTAAATAAATTAAAATATTTATACAAATCAAACAATCTCAGTAGTTAAGGTATTATTGTTAATCTTTGAGATTTTGGGTTCGAACAATACGTCTGTAAGGGTATATGAATGTTCATTGTCAAAAGGTTAAGAAACTTTCGAACAAATAATATTTTGTATTTACCCTAGGCTAATAAATAAATGGGCAAAGTATATAAATGGTCCTCCGATTATATAATATTGTTTTGTTGAGTCCATCGACTATTAAAAGTTACAAAATAATCTCTTGACTATAGAATGTTGCTTTGTTGAGTCCATCAACTATTAAAAGTTACAAAATGATCATTCGACTATTCATTTGTTTCAAACTAGTATTTTTTTGTTAAAAAATTAACAATCGTCTGAGTTGGATGTTAACTTATTAATCAGGATGTGATAACATGTGATCCCATAATCTCAAACAACTATACAATTTAAACGATCCTATGATCATACTTTATCATATTTCAGTCAACATGTTAACTTCTAACTTAAACGATCGTCAATTTTTTGACGGAAAAGAAAAAGTTTAGAATATATTAATAGTCAAGTGACCATTTTGTAATTTTTAATAGTTGAAAGACTCAACAAAACAACACCCTATAATTAAAAAATCATTTTGTATCTTTTAATAGTGGAGGGACTCAATAAATCAGCACTATATAATCGAAATATTATTTATGTAATTTTATCATAAATAAATTAAATATAAATCGGCGGGGAGGGAGTTTTGTTCAAAATCCACTTTAGAGAAAATTCGATCCTTCCATTATGCAGCAGTTTGTGGGATGTCAGTCAAATCCTGCCCTTATTCGCTTTGGTTAAAGTTAAAAGTTAAATTATTGAAAAAATAAATCAGAAATAAATAAATAAAATAAAGGTAACGAAGCTTGACCCGAAAGGCAGGGTAGGGTAGATATTTGGTTAACAAACCTTAGACTATAAAATCTAGATTGCTTTTATAAACTATTTTTCAATTTCACAAATAAATTAAATTAATAATATGTTTCTTATTTTTTTTAAAATAAATTATATCAACATCAGTAAATTTTAAAAATTCCTCTAATAATAGGTGAGATTATTTCTTAAATATTGCACCTACATGAACTTGTTAAGTAAGCTCAAGCATAAAAAAAATGTTGATTTCTTTAAAAGTTCTAGATTTGAGTAGCGACATCTACAAGGTGTATGTGCTTATCTTTAATCACAACAAATAAACTAATTAATACAAAACATAAGCATATATGGTTAAATCAAAAATAATTCTAAAAATTTTAATACTCAAGAACTTGAAATCTTAACCTTTGTTGATTGTGTTAAAATCTCATTGACATGGACCGTACTTAATTAAACAATGTGACGTTATGTTGGAATGCAACAACCAAAGGGCACCCATCATGGCACCTCCCATGCTTTGTGAACCCTCCACCCCCACCCTTCTTCTTCTATTCGCACTTTTTGCCTTTTTCTTTGCCGTAAAAAGGTGAAAACACTTGATCAATCACCATGATTAAATTGCAATCATTTGGACCTTTGATAATGTGGACCAAGACAACCAATCTCCCATGGGTTAGTTATTGTTGTTGGGTTTGACTTTGGAAGTTAAAATTATTATTCATTCTTAATGTTTACCAACAAAATCATGATAAAGCGAACCAATAGATCCATTTGTATAAAATGATTTTGGGTGTCATATTTTAAATTTTATTATACGTGATTGTTTTCTTTTGAAGTCTTAGGTATAAATAGTTACGTTTATAAGTGTGTGTTGCTAATGAATAAAAAGGATTTTGAACAGATATTATCTTATAATAATTAGAATCACTCTTTAAATTCTTTTAATTTTGTAACTAATAAAATTAAAGAATTATAATTATAAAAAAATTAATTGATATAGGCAATGATTAGTAGAACCCTTATTTATTAGGGTAAAATAGACAAATTGTCCTTCAACTATAGTATAATGCTTTATTGAGTCTCCGACTATTAAATGTTACAAACTGATCATTCAACTATTAATATGTTTCAAACTTATTTTTTTCGTTAAAAATTGATTGTAGTATAAGTTGAACGTTAACATGTTGATTAAAATATGATAATCATTTGAGATTATGATATAAGATTTTATCATATTCTAGTAAGCATGTTAACTTCCAACTCAGACTGCCATCAACTTTTTGACAGAAAAGAACGAGTTTGAAACATATGAATAGTTGGGTAACCATTTTGTAACTTTTAATAGTTGGTAGACTCAACAAAGCAATGCCCTATAATCGGAAACTATTTTATAACTTTTAACAGTCAGGAGACTCAACAAAACATCATCTCATAATCGAGAGACCATTTGTATACTTCATCATATTTATTAAATAATATTTGGTTACATAATTAAAATTAGTTAGTCCAGTACTGGCCGTTTGAACTAGTTTTGGCTTTGATCAATATTAAAGGAAAATCAAATCATATTAAAATATGATTCATTAAGTATTAATTATTTGACTTATTTCAGCAATAGTATTGGGGCAGTGAGATTTCTTGATCTGGATTTCTGCTACGAATCAATACTTATTAATTATAAAATAATTAATAATTAACGGGTTAATAATATATTCGATACATATACTTTGATAAATATTTAATTTAGTATCTATATTTTTAAAATGTTCGGAATGATATATGTATTATGACAAAATATATAAAGTGATATTTATATTTTTTAAATGTCTATTTTTATATTTGTATTTTGAAAAAAAAATCTAATGTGATACATATATATAATTTGTTACTTGAATTATCATTTCGTGTATTATTACAATATTTGTGAATTTTCATCAATTGATTTAGTATCATAATAATACACGAAATGATAGTTCATGTGTTATATAAGACATTTTGACAGCATATAGATATCATATTGAATATTTTTTTTGAGCAATTCCTATTTAGGAAGGGAGAAGGAGAATTTTGCTCCTAATGGGTATTGAACCCACAACCTATGGGAGAGGGGAGATGTCAAGAGGTACGAGCACAAAATTTTATGTTAGGGGATGCGAGCCTCTAAAATTTTAGAAGGAAACGAATTTATAAAATTTAAAGGGATGAAAATAGATCTTTAATAGAAAATACATAAAAAATCTAAATTTTCAGGGGACGACTGCCCCTATCCGCCTTCGATATATCTATGGGTGTTAACTGATAACTTTTAACCACCGACTCTGCATATCGTTGACATCTTATTCAACATTTTAGAAGTATATGTACCATAAAATACAAATACTACATTAGACGTTTTATTAATAAATATTAAATGTGATATTATCTCATAATTAATTATTAATTTACTTCATCAATTGAATTCATCAAGGGACTTTAGTGGTTAAAAAGAGAGTTATTATTCTTAGAGGTCTTAGATTCGAGCAGCGTGTGTTGTCAATGACTAAGACAAATTATGAACATACATTATCTTGTAATCACCCCAAACTAATCAAAGAAAAAAAAATCTACTTCATCATTTTCAAAAATTTATATGTTTAAACATATCCAAATCTATAAATTCCAGGTTATTAGGACTATCATATTAACTTAATTAAAACTCAATACCGATTATATAAAGAATCGTAGAATTAGAAGAAATGGCATGTGAAGATTAAGTACAGTGATTTCCTTTATTTGAATGATGCAATTTTTTGGCATCATGGATAAAGCTTTTTTCCTCTTTAAATGTAATTATTTGTTTATTTAATTATAACTAAACATTTCTGCTGCAATTTTTATATGACTGGTCTTAATAAATTTTAGGGTATATTACACGTTTAATATTTATCATTTTTGTTTCGTTTTAGTATTTAAACTTTTCTTTTCCAGAATCATAACTAATGTTTAGTAAAAAATGTAGAGACAACGATAGCGTAGAATTATTTCCCCTTTTTCAATATTCCACGCCACTGGTGCCGTTAACTTTTTAACAGCGGAGTATCAAATTGAAATATAAACAAATATGATTTTTTTAAAATTAAAAGTTTAGATACTAAAAAAGAATAAATGTAATAATTTAAATACTAAACATAGAATTTACCCTAAATTTTATGACAAAAATCTAGGAATCACATGAGTGACCTGACCAACAAATTGGACTCTTGTAATTGTTACCTCGACGGAAGTTTCCCTCTACGCTTTGTACTACATAATTTTCTCATGCACCATAACAACATTAATTTCTTATGACCACTATCCAAAGTACAGTAAAAATATAAGATTTCGAATATTATTTTAAATTTTGATTTATATTAGATATCATTTTCAATCTCGAATAAACTCTCCCTTCTCCTTGACAAAAAGTTATAAATATTCTCCTTATAAAAAAACTATAAATATAATTATAGTATTTTTTTAGTAAATTCCAAATTTAATGGAGATGGGACTAGAGACTCTAAGAAAAGAAAAAAAAGAAGGTTCCTAGTGAATTTAAAACTCGTGAAAAAAGAGAATACAAGAGAATAAGGATAACTTGATCAACCGACCGAATGTGCTTACTAATAAATATAGTTATAATATAACAATCTAAATAATTATATTTCGAATAAATCATAATATACATAATTGAACCAATGACAATAATATATCCAAACCTAATTATCAATAAGTCTAGAAATGACGAACACATAAAAGTTAAAATGTAGATCGAATACATATTTTTATATATGATGAAATTTATAGTTATTAAATACATGAAATCTCAAAATTTTCAAACCTGAACCTCTCATATGTATAACATTAACATAATAGTGTAAAGGTTTAATAAATAAAAAAACTCTCCATGCACGCAAATTTTCCTCGGGGAGAGTGTCTAAGTTACACTATAGGAAGTGATTCGTATTCCACAATTTAAACTCTCCCACTAATAATCAGCTTAGAGACTAGAGGCTTTTTGAGATCAATGCTTATCTCCATGCACGCAAATTTTCCTCGGTGACTACTATCTGGGAATCAAGTTTGATTATTGATCCATTGCTTTCGCCAATTTTCGTGATGATGTTCTTTTTATTTAGAGTTACTAGAAGGTCAGGTAGGCGGATCCAAGTTATGATTTTTCTTGGGAAAGGTTGTGTCGTAGAGAACTCGGGTCTCCATGGTTTAATCGTCAAAGTGTCCAAGAACCATCCACAAGCACTTGAAGGAAGTTGACATGAGTGCTGACGGTAACCAGAAAATAATCATTCTCAGTATCCATGAGTTCAAAAACTTGTTTCGACTTCCATAATTCATAGAGTTTGTTTCGTAAGGTGGTATAGCCTATGCGTCTCCCTAGCAATTTGATTATCACCGTTTACTCAAAACTTCTGGCCACCAAGGATTGAATACGATCCGAGAAGTCAACTGAAATCAGACCGTCAACGAACGTGCGGGTGACATCCCCTTCCAGGATTTCAGTTTTGTCCTCTTCTAAAATCTCTTCCACATCCGACGGGATATCATTGTTATCGCGCATCAAGGTATCCTTGTAAGAAGGCAGCCAGGGTTCAGCAACCGGATTTGGGGCATCAGTATTTGATTGGGAAGTGAGTTTTGCCTCGATGGCATTAGGATCCTTCGATCCACCCTTGTCAGGGAGATTGCCATCTTGTCGACGGAGTTTTTAGGGGAATCGAGAGCCATCGGCGACACGTTCGGATGGAGGGGTCACAGGGAATTCACGTATCATGCTAGGGTTTTTACGTAATCAGTTTAAACTTTTTTGAATATATTTCTGGTTACTATTTCAACGCTAAGCTAACAAGGTCATAAATATTCCTTAAAATAGAAAAGACCAAACAAGGAACTCATTATTGTATCTAACAACACCCAAGTGATGTGACAAAAATAAATAAAGAAATTGATTTCAAAGGCCGTGATTGGCGCCACGTAATTCAATTTCACTTTTCTATATTTATAAATAATAAATTTATTTTATATTAAAAATATCACTATTATTTCAAAACCGGAAAATCAGCAGGAAACCGTGAAATTGTGCTCCCTCTCCCCTGCCGCCGTACAGCCGAGTAATATCTGACGTGGCAATTTTCACCCACGGTTAAAAACAGTAAAAATATAAACTTGCGTTTTAACCGCTGTAAAATGGCACGTGACTTGAGAAAGGGAGAGAGAGAGAGAGAGAGGGAAACAGTTAGCGGCGGTTAGGTAAAATCTTATGCAATGCAAGACCTAACTTGAAAACGCTATCGCTTTTGTAATTTGTGTTATGCAACGACGTCGTTTATTCCTTTTTGCATTTTGCCTTTCGCTCGTTGGCTCGTTGCTCTATAAAATTCCGTTTCCTTGGAGCTTGTACTCTGACTCGCCCTTCTTCTTCTTCTTCTTCTCTTCACAGCCTTTTCCTGTTTTTTTTTTTCTTTTCTTACCCGGATTTTCTGTTTGTATAGTGAGAAAATTTTTGACTACCGAAGAAGCAGAGAAAGTTGCAAATGGCGGTTGCAAACAAGTGGGCTTACGCTTCTTTAGCTCTTCTGTTTTTGCTTCTTATCGGAGCAATGGCCGTTGTACAGATCGGCAACGCTTCCAGGTTTCTCTCTCCCTCTTCGTACTTCAATTCTGAAGCATTTGATCTCTCTTATTTTCCATTTTGTTTTCATTTTAGCAAAAGAACGAAACAGAGACATCTCTGTTTTTGACGCCGGGCTTCTTCTCTTGCCAAAATCTTTCTTTTTCCTTTTTTGTTTACTGAAACAGAGTAATAATACAATTTATGTTAAGTTTTCATCGGCTAGATCTTGGAGTACATTTTCGGAAAATGAATCTCATTCGCTAAAAGGAAACTAGAAATTAAAGAATCCATTATATTTATCTTCAAAACCTTCATCAACACATACAAAGTGAGATCACACTGTACCTTTTTAATGCATAAACCGAAAATGACTCGCTGGTTTTTTTCCTATTTGTTATGCATTTTCGTTATTTTACCTTTTTATAATATGTTTATCCATTTTCACAGCAATGTGGAGACGGAGAAGGTGCGGAGCTCGAAGAACTCAACAATGGCAGCTAGGTAATGCACTGCAGAACTCAAACACTCGCTTTCGCTTTCTGTTAAAGAAAAACTGATAATCTCATCTCAACCGTGAATTTTGTCCTTTCGTTTACGTTTCCCGTTTGGACCGTTGGATGATGGGAGCGGTTACTATTTTATCCATCCTAACAATATGTAAACGGCTCCCTAGCTGATGAGATCCAGATCCTTGGATCCCAACCGTTTATTCAGTCGCTACATTCCCTTTTTCTTTTGTCAGCTTATCAGAATTACCCTCCTCTTACAAGAAAAAGAAAAACGAAATGTAAAGTGCATGTTCGTCACTTCGATAACCGGTTCGTTCGCGGTTTCTTTTTCCACCATTCTCTTAACGGGTTTGGGAGTTTTCGTGAACACTGCCCCCTTGAGCAGTGTACTTGCTGCTACTTTATATCTATTTACGTACCCGCTTTTAGAGAATTACACGTGTCTGAAATTCATTTGAGTACCTTTTGTTTATTTATTGGGTTTCAATTTAATGACGAGTTTTGCTTGGGTGATCTTCAGGTCAGAAGAGGTTGAGCCACTGAACCAGAATGCGGTTCCTGACCCAGAGGCAGTAGCAGCCGAGATCGAATCCATCATTGACCTGTGAGTATATCTCATTTTTTTAATCTTTATTTATTCCTTTAAATATCAAATAAAACATGCGATAATCTGTTATCTCATTTGTAGAATTAATAGAATTTAATCGCCAATAACAAATAACTATCCAATCAATATTTGTTTCGATCTAACTTCCATTAAATGTAAAATTTGTTATGGTAGTAGACTAGTAGTTGTTGAATTTATCTTTTTTAGTGACAATTCTATTTTTTAATTTGATTAACATTTTCTAAGGACGTGAATTAGAATATATTAAGCAAAATTGAATATGATTTAAAATTTATATCATCAGTCAAAATTCGTAACACGATCATAATATAATCTATATCTATATCATACTGTTGTTATACATTAACCCCCTTCATTTTCTTACTCTCTCTCTATCCAATCCGATGCCATTATTTTTACACGTTTTCTGATGGTACAAAAGTTTCTGTATGCTTATAATTAATTGTCCAAATTAAGCATTTTTCTTACTTCACTGTAGATGCACGTTCATTTGTCTATTCATGAGAATTCCAACATGGCTAAACAAACCCACTTTTGTTTGACCACTTTTCAATTACTATCTTTTGTTTGTTTTTCTAATTTTTCATAATTATATTATAAATGTAAAAGCCCAAGTGCTTGGGGATATTATTTTGGAGGAAAATAACAGCTTTTACCCGTTTGTTGCAAAAGTCAATCTAAAAATATATCCATAGACCATAGCAGTTGATCTGGAATGACCTTATTGTCCTCAATGGTTGACAAGAATTTTACTCTGCACCCTTTTTCTGTTTCTGCACTACCTTTCCTATTGGGATCTAGTTCATGGAAAGTGGGGTTAGTTTACCCCCACCGACAATAATTTCCTATCCTTACCAAAAACAATAAATCATAATTAATATTTTACCATGACAGGTAGTGAGTTTTTATTGCATGTTCCTGTTAAGAATGCCTAAATGTGTACATGCACATTTGATATGATGGCAGGAGTATTCGCAATGTGACTGAAAGGAGGGAGTTGGGGTTCTTCACGTGTGGAACCGGTAACCCCATCGACGATTGCTGGCGTTGTGATGCAAATTGGCAGAAGAACCGGAAGAGACTTGCTGATTGTGGCATTGGTTTTGGAAGGAATGCAATTGGTGGGCGTGATGGACGTTTCTATGTTGTCACCGACCCTAATGATGATGACCCTGTTAACCCCAGACCCGGTACCTTGCGTCATGCTGTGATCCAGGACGAGCCTCTTTGGATTGTGTTCAAGAGGGACATGGTTATTCGGTTGAAACAGGAGCTGATAGTGAACAGTTTTAAGACGATCGATGGTCGTGGGGCCAATGTACATATTGCTAATGGGGCATGTATCACCATCCAGTTTGTTACCAATGTCATTATTCACGGTCTTCACATTCATGATTGTAAGCCTACTGGCAATGCCATGGTGAGAAGCTCACCATCTCACTTTGGGTGGAGGACGATGGCTGACGGCGATGCCATCTCCATTTTCAGTTCGAGCCACATTTGGGTTGATCACAATTCTCTCTCTAATTGTGCCGACGGTCTTGTTGATGCTGTCATGGGCTCAACTGCCATTACCATATCCAACAACCACATGACCCACCACAATGAGGTAAATATCAGCTCTGCAGATATCTCTCTTTTCTTTTGTAGCTCAACTTCCATTCACAGCACCCTCATTAATGGTAAAGCTAACTGTTTTTAAATCCGTTATTAAATGTAGGTGATGTTGCTAGGCCACAGTGACTCATACACAAGGGACAAGCAGATGCAAGTCACCATTGCCTACAACCATTTCGGAAAGGGTCTTATCCAGAGGATGCCAAGGTAATCAAATAATCCATCAATCAATTAAAGGCCTTTTGGTATGAATGAAAGTAAATCAAATTGGATATAAACGCACAGGTGTAGGCATGGATATTTTCATGTGGTGAACAACGACTACACGCACTGGGAAATGTATGCCATTGGTGGAAGTGCGAACCCAACCATCAACAGCCAGGGTAACAGATATGCAGCTCCAACCAACCCATTTGCAAAGGAGGTTACCAAGAGAGTGGAGACACCTGCAAATCAATGGAAGAGCTGGAACTGGAGGTCAGAAGGAGACTTGTTGCTGAATGGTGCTTACTTCACTCCGTCTGGGGCTGGAGCCTCAGCCAGCTATGCTAGAGCGTCGAGCTTGGGAGCCAAGTCCTCTTCCATGGTTGGGGCCATGACTTCCAATGCCGGTGCTCTTCCCTGCCGCCGAGGCAGGCAGTGTTAGTCCATCTCTCTCCCAACCCAATTAAAATGGCTGACAATCAGCCTTTTCCCATGATTCATATCCATTCCATTGTTTGCTTTTTGCTTTTTGTACTCTTTACCATCTCTACCTTCCAGTTTGGTCATATATTTGTCAAAGTGTACATTTTTTACACATTGTCAGTATATGGGTGTCTCTGTCCCTGTTTGTGAAATTGTTTTTATTTTCTCAACCTCGGCCTGCTTCAACTCAACCCCCAAGTAACCAACCCCAAAGCAGTCAGTGTCTTTAGGAGCAGGTGCGGAAGCGTTGTCCTTTTTCTTCCAAGTTGTTAAGGTCGTCATGGTCCGTTAGAAAAGCCATCCATTGGGTATTATAGGAGGATTGTGGTTTTTTTTAGCCTTCAATTGTGTGTAGCTTACAAAAGCGAAAGGTAAGAATGTAAAAGTGGCGAGTTATATTGAAAGGCTATTGTTACAGATGAATGAATGATGATTACATTAGAGTCAAAATAAGCATTTGATGTTTCTTTTTCACTTTATTTTTGGGTTTTGTGTTTAAGTTGGTTTGGTCTGGTAAGGCATTAGTAGTGATTCTTTGTTTCCCTCTTTATGTGTGGGTGCACCGACAGACAGGGGATCCCCCACATGACCTACAAAATTAATATAATGACCTTTCGTCTTAGCTTTTCTTTTCTTTTTCCTTTTTTGGTCTTTTTTTTACCAAACGATAAAAGCCAAGGCCTGCTCGCTTTAAACCGGCAACAATTCAAAGGCTTAATAGTATTTCATCACCTTCAACTTTTGCAGAAAAATTAATGTAATCTCTAAACTTATTTTACATTATGGCTCTTAAATTAAAAAGAACAAATAATTTAGTCATTTAATCAACAGAATCAAACGTGATCGTTATGATGGTGATAAAGCAATTTATAATGGATGATAACATAACAGAGAGATAGTTTAGTTTTACAAAATGTAAATTATATTCATTTTTGTTTTCTTAGAAAATATAAAATGTTAAAGAAAACGTGTTTAGTTGTAAAATTATAAAATGATTTATAGAAGTGAAAATAAAAAATTATATTTTTGGTATTTTCAATACTTTTTTATGAAAAATAGAATAACATGAGATCTAGATTTTTAACTTAATTTACATGGGTTCAAATCCTTCAAACAACAAATTTATGACCTAATATTATCTAAACCCTCAAACTTTTGTAAAAAAAAAATCAATAAGACCCCTAATTATTTTTACATTCAACGTTATTCCTTAAACTGATTTTTTTTAAAGATTTCTTTTTGTACCATTTTTATAGTTAGTGAATTAAGTATGTTAATAATCGTTTATATTTTATATTTAAATATTTTTCTTTATTTAAAAAAAAAGTTAATTAAACCCTTATTTTTAAAAAAATCAATTAGGCCATCAAACTTAGTCAAAAAATTCATCAAACTCATCTACTACATCATTGTCCATCATGTACTACCACAACAACATTGTGAATTATCGCATCTACATTATAAATTGCCATGTAAGCTTTGTGAACTGTCATGTTAGGATCATTATGGCTAACGTTTGATTCCATTGGTCAAATGGTTAGATTTTTTCTCAATTTAAGGATCACATCTAGTGAAAAAAAATTAAGGGTTATACTAATATTTTTACAAAAGTTTGAGGACCTTAAATACCACTAAACATTTTTTTCATTTTAATGACACTTTCTTGTGCTCTTGTTTATAATATTTTTTTTATGTATTTTTTTTTAAATTTAATTGATGTTTAATATGCATTAACATTATATTCTAATTTTGAACTAAATAATTTTTGTGTTATTAAATTAGTTATCAATTTTATTATTTTATATTTGCATAACTCACATATTAAATTTAGGTAATGATATTTTTTAATAATTATATTTTAATTTAAATATTTAATAACTATTTGTTCATCCTTTTTTTAGAATTGCCTGTCCAGCTCAGTTGGTAGAGCACAAGGCTCTTAACCTTGGGGTCGTGAAATCAAGTCCCATGGTGGGCAATTAATAATTCGGAGGTCTTCCACGAAACTGCTCTCAACCTTAGAACCTAATATGCATTAACATTATATTCTAATTTTGAACTAAATAATTTTTGTGTTATTAAATTAGTTATCAATTTTATTATTTTATATTTGCATAACTCACATATTAAATTTAGGTAATGATATTTTTTAATAATTATATTTTAATTTAATTATTTAATAACTATTTGTTCATCTTTTTTTTAGAATTGCCTGTCCAGCTCAGTTGGTAGAGCACAAGGCTCTTAACCTTGGGGTCGTGAAATCAAGTCCCATGGTGGGCAATTAATAATTCGGAGGTCTTCCACGGAAACTGCTCTCAACCTGGTGTTGGGGGCAACCTACTATTTTAGAAAGTTAGATACAAAATATATTTTCACTATTTTTATTTTTGAATTCAAGTTTTCATTTATATTAACCTAATATATTTTCTAATTTTCAATAAATTGAAATAAAAATTGTTTTCTAAAAATAAAAAAAAATTCTAGAACTAAACATACCCTTAATTAATTTTTTATCTGAATTTGAAGACTTAATTGATTTTTTAAAAAAAATTGAGAAATTATTTATTTATTTTAAAAAACATTATTTTAGATTTACATTTAAAATATCAAAATATTCAAAAAAAATAACGGCTAATGATATGTTTGTAATTTTTTAAAATTAAACGATATGTTTATAACTTTTCTTAAAAAAAGGTGATCCTTTTCTTATCAAATGCAGAACATAGTGACCTGAAGCATATTTTAACCTAAAGAAGCATCATATACGAGGTGTGACCCAACAAGGCAGAGTCACGTGGAGGATGTGGACTGATTTGCATTTAGGGGAAATGGATGGGACCTTTATCTTTCCATCAACTTGAAGATTTTAAATAGCTTTTCTATTTTGATCTTTGATGTTTTTCCAATTTAAACCCTTTACTTTGTCTTCTCCAGTTAATGTCCAACCAAATCGTTTGCTTGTGTAATTGGAATTGGTTCACATCTAACTCTAACAAAACAAATCAAGTTAGTGATCAGTTAGGGTTGTAAAATCAATCAGATTTAAATTTAGGGAAAATTTGTTTCATATGTTCATGATGATTATTGCTCTGTAATTACAAAAATGTATATCTTTTGCAAATTGCTAAAAAGATAAATGTTCAATATATCTTTAAGTTGGACTGAAATAAAAGAAAAAGAAAATAGAGATAAAAATTATGAAAGAAAATTATACGAATTTTATCTAAAATGAATAAGTGCGTGTGGTACGTGTCAAAGACACATAATTATACGAGCACAAACTAGAACGAGCAGCGATGATACACGTGTATTAGCCCATATTGTTTAGCTACATGAGTTTTCAAGTATTTAAATATAACAAAGGTTAATACATAGCACCATCGTTGTCTTGCTCGACTTGTGCTCGTTCTCTTACTCGTGTAATTACATGTCTCGACACGCATTACAATTGTTCTTTTGGACAAAATTCACATACTTTTTCATGTTTTGACTAGTCTTTTTTTTCTTTCTTTCATTTCAGTCCAACCTGACCAAAATTAGCAAAAAAAATGTTATCTAAAGAAAGCGTCTTTGCCTACGTGATAGGAAAAATGCTAATTCGAAAATTAATTATCAATGTGTGTTATTTTGATAAATAATATTTTTTTTGTATATTTGAGTAAGAAATCCATATCCAGAGATAGATATGAGATATAATAGCCTTTTTAAAAAAAATCATCCAAATTCAGTATTTAACCCTTGAATTATACATATTTTCTGGCTTTAGTACCTAAACTTTTTTTTATCCCACTTTGACACCTAAACTATGCCATATCCTCAAGAACAACACATTCCACAATGAAAAAAGTTGTTGGCAAATCTACCAACTAGTGCTTGGAGCAGTAGTTTGTGATTAATATACATTGTGGCTCTTATTCACTTGACCAAATTCTTTACGCTTCAGTACTGTCATATAAGACCATTTCATCCTCAAAAATCATAGTTTCAGGATTTTTTTTAAGTTTAAGCATACATATTTTTTGAGACGAACGCTTGATTTTGTGTTAGGTGTTGCGAACTTAGGAATTTCTACTTGAAATTTAAGTGGTTCTAAATTACAAAATCTTAGGGATACAAAATTAGATTATCGGTAAAAAATACATTTAATTATTTAAATTATATGAGAATTTAAAATTTCTAACCGTAAGACTAGTTTTAATGCGCAAGCATGGAGTCTCTTTGGTGAATATGATGGGTTATCTTAATTTCTTGGTTGCATTTGACATAGATTGAAGCTCTAATTGAACAAAAATCATGCCTGCATGCTCTCCTCATTGTTCACCACCTTAGGTTTCTTCACAACGGGGCCAATCAATTTCCACACTGTATAAAATAAACCATAATAGATTTCATTACTTAAATCGAATCCGAATAAATTTAAACCAAAAATTGATGACCAGAGTCTCATTGTTGAGTTATCAATTTAAAATAAAGGAATTAAAATCTAATCTGTTTAATTTTGAAACTGAAAGGGATCTAAAAAGTATTTAAACAAACAAATGGTGGATTAAGGCTTAATTCAGCTAGTTTCAAAACTAAGAGGGACTTAAAAAGAAGTTGTATCTATAAGCGAGGGGCTGGGATCTAGTTCACCTAATTTCAAAACAAGAGGACCTAAAAAACAATTGAGTCCAACAAAATTGAGAGGACAAAACTTAATTTGCCCGGTTTTAAAAGTAAGAGGGTCTAAAAAACAATTAAACCAAAATATTTAGGAGGCATGGCCCCTCTCACGTTACACATGACTCCGTCCCTAATATTAAGATATCTAGTATTCATACACTCTGATTTTAACTAAGATAGTATTCTATTTCACCAATGAGAACTTGATTTAATAGTAAGGGGCAGAATTAAGATGAAACATTGGGAAGGACTAAATTGTTTTTACTATAAAAGATCAATGATCTAATATATATTTAAACTAAGGAGGACTTCGAATACTACTATACCACAAAATTTGAGGGTAAAGTATGCAAATGATCCCCGACTATAGGATATTACATTATTGAGTCATTGACTATTAAAAGTTAAAATATGGTCCCCGATTATAGGGCGTTGATTTGTTGAGTCCATCGACTATTAAAGGTTACAAAATGATCATTCGACTATTCATTATGTTTCAAACTTGTCTTTTTCATTAAAAAAATTAACTGTCGACCGAGTCAGATGTTAACATGCTCACTGAGATATGATAGTCGCTTGAGATTATAAGATTAGATATTATCATATATAAGTCAACAGATTAACGTCCAACTTAGACTGTCGTCAATTCTTTAATGAAAAATGACGAGTTTGGAACATATAAATAATTGGGCGATCATTTTGTAACTTTTAATAATTGAGAGACTCAACAAAGTAATGTGTTATAATCAGAGGATTATTTTGTAATTTTTAATAGTCAGGAGACTCAACTAAACAACATCATATAGTCGGGAATTCAACAAAATAATATTCTATAATCAGGGATCATTTATATATTTACCCAAAATTTAACCTAAATGGCTTATCCCTATTAGCAAGGAAGAACTCTAGGAACTAAAATTGTTTACACAACGATCAAAGAACAATAATGGATCTATAAATATTCTTTAGACATATGTCATAAATATTTAAGATTTGAATCTCAATATCTATAATAATTTGATTTATCCGAGTAAGAGAAATGCGAATCACATAATATGATTTCACTTACTGTATATCGTAGCTGCCAACCACTCGTTGATGATTTTAACACATGCACTTGCCCAGCCCACATCAATGCTCCACCTGAGTGTAATCGTAAAGTCAATACATATTCAAAAGATAATCTTGATCGTTTATTTTTATTTATCTAACGATATTAAATTAATATAAAATTAAAAAAATTATATTGTATAAATGGATCCTACTCATATATATATATATATATATATATATATATATATATTGGGTTGAAGTAAAATGTTACTGGTTTGAAGAGTCTTCCAGGTTCCAACTGATGAATAACATTGCAAAGTACATGGCCCCCAAAGAGAATATCATGTGAAAAAATCCGTAGTGATAACGTATATCATCCTCTTGTTTAACCTCATTTTTATTAAACTGAAAAAAAAAATGATATTAAACAATACATTAGCATTCGAATCGATCGGCAATAGGTGGAGAAACTCATCTCGAATGTAAGATCGTAGGCAATCAACGATGTAACCATTCGAGGTGAGATACCACCATTTTAATGGCTCCCTATCATGAAATTAACTTGGAAAAAGAGCAATTTACCTGGAATGATTTCGAATCAATACCCGTTGAAAAGGTTGCCGTGACAATGGTACCTACTGCAATCAGAAACCGCTGGAAAAAGATTGCAAAACTCTGAGAAATATAATCATGAAGTTGGGGGAAAAAGGGTGGCAAACTCTTACGAGTACGGTGGTCCAATCGAAACGTCCGTTATCCGGCTTTTGTATGTTGCATTTCTCGTCGGCCGGTTCACTGGAAAGCCATGTGATGAAACCAAATGTCAATTCTTTTGTTGATTTCTTCAGGCCTGTCATATTGATGCATGAAAAAAAATTGTACATGTGCTGAAAATATTATACTGAGCAATTACTCTTCTTCCAGCAACCTTTCCAGCCCTTGATCTTAAAGGTAAACACAAATCTGTCCAACTACGAAAGCGCTACGAAGGTCGTATTAACGAGTAAGTATGTTGATCCGTGTAAGGTCGTATGCATATCAGTAAATCGGTTTTCATTATTAATGTGCAACATTTAACTTTGAAGCAAGAAATGCTAGCAAGCTTATATAGGATGAGCTTCAACACAATTCACTGCATACCTTCTAATGGCAGACCAACAGAGGAAAACAACATAAGAAGCCATAATTCCTGAAGATAAGAGACCTTTATTAACCTGCATTAACAAGCCATACTTCATTTAAGATGAATAGAAGCTTTCGGGTTTCGAAATTGTGTTATTATTCGTTGAATATACTTGTATCAGACACGAGCGCGAGTACGAAAGGGGTTATATAATAAAAGAACATCATCATTATACCTTTGAATGCAAGGACATAGCCATCATCACTATGAGAAGAAAGGCAGTCCATGTAATGAAGAATATGTTGAGAGGGCAAGCTGGTTTCGGGGCATAAAAATAGTACATGGACACAATTCCGCATATCGAAACACCGTAAAAGACCGTCGAGGTAAATAATGCAATGGAACAACAGCTGAAGGAAAACACGATAGTAATTCGTTAGTATATACTTGTTCGATTCAATTACTTGATAAGTTTAAGCTTTGAGTAAGCCATAAAATACCTGTGTTTACTTTGCTCATTAGGTGACCAGTACTTATTCCACCATCTGATAAACTCGATCACGCTTATAAGTTGCAGAAGGAGAAAAACCCTATATCAGATGAGCAGCAAAACATACTTAATCTCATACTCAAAAGATTATAATTTGAGGGTGATGAAAATCATGTAATGAAAAGCTGTGCAATTAATTATTGAAAGTGTAAAGAATACCCTGCGCCGACACGAGCAACTTCTCCTGCAAGAAAGAGGAAATAAGGTCCTTAATTTGGGGTATGATCAAAAGGAGAAAGGTGTTCTCTGTAGTTTTTAAGAAAAAAGATAGCTCCTCCCATGATCCTAAAGTACAAGTAGAGCAATGGTGCACACATTCATACTAACATGCTTAAAGTATGAGTTCTTAGATTCGGGATTCAAAGCAAACATACCGTATATGTGAATGAAATCTGGAGGGAAGAAGAATGGTACAACCATGGATACAAGCAACAGGACAACCTTCAGCCCCCACCATCCCGAGTGCCATTTACTGCAAGCTTCATATAATTTTCTTGCAGTGAATGTGGTTAGAAACATGAGATGGAAAAATATCTGAAGTTTATGTCAAGGAACACGATTTTCGAAGTCCGGAAAGTAAACATGAATCTAAGTATATGTCAACACACACATATACTGTTACTTGGAAGATACGAAACATCCTAAACTCACTCGGAGAACTCCGAATGTGTGAAAGCAATCGTGTCCGCCGATTCCGCAAGCTTCTTTATCTGTGAAAAGAACGTTTTTCGTACAAAAAACACAGAAGAAAAGAAAATAGAACATGTAATTTACCATCTCCCGAGCAGGTTCAGATGAGCATTACTTCAACATCAGCAATGTACCACAGGATCTATGCTCAAAATCAATGGAACCATAACTTTGGGAGGTGAGAAAGGAAAGACTAGACTCACAATAGAGTGGAGGGAAAACACTGTGGCCATAATCTCGAATGAACCACGCAGTGAGGTTGGTGACGAAGAAGATTATGCCGTAAACGTATCTGGCTCGGAGTGACTCGTTCATCGCTTCGAAACAATCGATATTCCTTGGATCCACTGACGATACCTTTAGTTGCTGAGAGTTGCTTGAACTTATATGTATCACAGTAGATTCAAGTTCAACAGCTGAAATAGACACACTCATCTCTGCCATTTTCAATCAATTAAATTGTTGTAATCAGTTGCTTCTAAACTGTACATTGCGTGTGAACAGTAAGGGTAAACAGTAGAATCTGCATTTATCCAACAAGTGATGAAAAACTGCTGATTCATTCGTATCTTCTTCCACAATTCAAGCACGAAAACTTGTCTAAATAAACTATGCAGGAAGTATTTGAAAATCTTCAATGTAATTATCATCTTAGTATGGCCATAAAAAGAAGACCAAGAAACATAGAAGAAGCTCACTTTGATGGACATGGAAAATATATAATTCAGAAATTAAAAATAAATAAATGCAATAAATAAAAGAAAAAGCTTAGAAACCTTTTGATTTTGGGGCTTGATCTGTAGAGTGTAAATTCTCTTATCTGGCAGTCTTGAAGAACATAAATATCAATGAATCTTCCTCTGGCATACGTTGAAGTAACTGTTAAGAAGAAACAGTTGGACATTGCCTACTGCCGATCCAACAGTATAAAACCGTTGCACGAACCAAACGAATTCAATAGTTAAAAAAATTATTGTTATTCTTTGAGGTACCGAATTTGAGCACCAAGAATATAAATGTTTAATGTCAAACGATTGAAAGTTATCTCTGAAAAGATATTCCTTGTATTTATCTTAGATTAATAAAAAAAAACAGTATAAAGCAGTTGCTTCTTTTTTAGCCCTTTTTCACATTGGTTTTCTGACCACCACCCAAATCGTCTTCAGCTTGAAGCTTGGAATTTCTTTCATTTTCTAATTAACCAAACAAATATTCAGGAAACTACCCCGCAAAAGAAATAGCAGTAAACGTGTTTTCTTATCAAGCAATCCCAACAATATTTCATAACAAAAAAAAAAGCCTTAAATAAATTCTTTTAATTTATTAATTATCAAATAATTAAAAATATCTGAACAGTTAATATTTTATATTCACCCATATTAATAATAATAATAATAATAATAATAACTAATATCAAATTTTACCATTGAATGTTAGAATAATTTCCGTCTTTGCCTTCATTACCGGAGTCTTTCCGGTCACCAGCGACAAATCTAAGCCGTTAGATCCACCCCCTGCCAGTCACCATCTTGCTTTCCCTTGATTTTTCAACTACTATTGTTTAGTTACTGGTTCGTGTTTCATTTTGCAGCTTCATGACGTCTTCCTCCGTGCCATTGATGGCGGTCGATTCGGGAGTCGATGATGTTACATTTTGTTGCGTTATAAACATTTTACAGGTAATTCGCATGTGTATATAATATATATTTTACTAAAAAACTAAAAATCAAACTACCAATATATAAAAATTATTGTTTATAAATATGATGAACTTAAAAGGTACACCAAGACACTTCAACGTCGTTACATATCAATATCGCAGTACCAATAATTTCCAGACACTGATCATCTCGCTCAACTCAACTCTTAACTCTAAAAACAAAAAACTTTAAACCAGGGAAATGCCCTCAGTGTACCGTTAGGAGGAATAACCTCAATAATCCATGCCCCCCATACCGCCGGGCATTGCCGGAACATCCTTCTCATCCTTGGGAAGTTCGACTACAATGGCTTCGGTTGTTGTCATCAATGAGGACACACTGCACCATAAAGGAAACAGACTCACCTAGTTACTTTCAGGAATCCTGATTGATGATGCAATCCTAGAAAACAGATTTACGGTGACTTACCTTGCAGCATCGACCAAAGCAGTTCTTATTACTTTCAATGGATCAATAATACCAGCCTTCACCATGTCGACATATTCACCTGGTTATGGGGCAAAGATAGGAGCATTAAGCTATGTTAGTTTCCTAGGACAGTATGTAAATACAATGAAAGTAACTCGTAAGAGATTCACATACCTTTGGCTGCATCATACCCGAGATCAGGGTTATCCTGCTCTAACAGTTTACCGACAATAATGGCTCCCTCGACTCCAGCATTTGAAGCAATTGTGTGCACAGGTGTCTACAAAAGAAAGTTCATTTATAAGGGAGACTGAAACCTCACACATCAAAATCATCAGCATTTTGAAACTTTATAGTGGAAGAGCTGTCCAAATTTTTCAACAGTATAACGAGAATAGAATTTTCAGAGTTTGATCCATCGGACATGGAGAAAAGGTTCACAAACCTTTAGAGCATTCTGGATAATTTGAACACCGATCTTCTGGTCAAAATTGGCCGTAGGTAGCTTGTCCAAATCTTTCGATGCATACAAAAGAGCGACACCACCACCTAGATGGTACAATTCCTTTAGTAATGTTTCCATGATATTCCGAGTTCAACTGAAACTTCATGAAAAAAACATTATGACTTTAAAAGTTAATTACCTGGCACAATACCCTCTTCTACAGCTGCCTTTGTAGCGTTTAATGCATCCGTAACTCTATCCTTCTTCTCGCTAACTTCAGCTTCACTAGCTCCTCCGATCTGGTAATGTCCAACAAGTTACGAGCTTCGTCAACTCCATTTAAGTAAGCAGCAAATAGGAACCGAACAGCAATTGCATTTCAAAGTAAGACAAGTTAAAAACACCAATAACTAACACTACCATACCTTCAAGACAGCTACACCACCAGAAAGCTTTGCCAATCTCTCTTGCAACTTCTCTTTATCATAATCAGAGGTGCTCAATTCAATTGCTGACCTAATCTGTTATCATGGAAGACATGTTATAATCTGAAATGTTAATGAAATCACGTAGACCTCAAGAATCAAAAGATCTAAACAACTGTTTGTAAAGGAACAAAACCTGTTCACATCTTTCTTCAATGGATTTCTTGTCACCATTCCCGTCAAGAATAACAGTGTCATCCTTTGAGACCGTAACCTTTAGCAGCCAAAAGGAAAACCATCATGCATCAATAAAGATGTCCGCCCCATTACACAAGAAGGGATTCGATAGTTTGTTTTACTGAACTCATCGACATAGGAAAATGATGAAATATCACATTGGGAAAAGACTTTGACATCCAGACTACAGATATCATACCTTTTTGCAAGTTCCAAGCATGTCCAGATCCACCTTTTCAAGGTTCATGCCAAGTTCTTCGGTTATAACCTACACCCAAAATGTAACAGATAACATCAAGAGGTTATGAAAATTCATGTCAGAGGAACTATGGACTATGAAGAAGATACTATCATACAGAAGAAAGATGAAACTGCCCTACCTCTCCTCCTGTGAGGACAGCAAGATCATACAGACTAGCCTTCCTGTTTTCTCCAAAACCAGGGGCTTTGATGGCACAGACCTGCACCATAATTATTAATATCTATTCACAAGCATTCCTATAAATGAGAAGAATTAACACAGGAAATCATATTTGACTGACAATCAAACCTTGATTCCAGCACGAAGCTTGTTAAGAATGAGCGTAGCAAGTGCTTCACTCTCTACATCTTCAGCTACGATGAGCAAGGGCCTTTGCCTCTGAACAAAAATAGCATCGAAGATATTAATGTTATGAATGAAATTTAATTTCAATACAGTTTTAATGAGAAAAACATCTAGATGAATGAAGATTAATCAAAAGTAAGCAAACATGATTTGCTAAAAAAATTTTTACCTTTAAAGCTAACTCTAGTACTTTCACAACAGCATTCAAGCTCGATATTTTCTTCTCGTGAATTAGGATAAGAGGATCATCTAATTCCTGCCATAACAAAATGAATTAAATCAGCATCAAAACTCGATCAATCAAAACTCGATCAATCAAAACTCGAGGCTCATGAGAATTTCCAGTTCTTTTAAAGGAGAAATGAGTTACTTACACATTTTTGGTTTTTCGTATTGGTGATGAAATATGGAGATATGTAGCCCTTGTCCAGCTTCATGCCCTCAACAACTTCCAACTCATTAAATAACGTTTTTCCATCCTGAAAAGGTTTTCCCCCACAGTAAGACATCATATCAGGTGTAAAACAGTTAAAAAAAGTTTAAAATATTGCAAGCATGCACAATCAACACTTTAAAATTAAAAGCCAATATGATATGAAGGTACTGATACCTGAATTGTTATCACCCCTTCTTTGCCAACCTTCTCCATGGCCTTTGCAATTAATTCGCCAATTTCCCTCTCTCCATTAGCCGATATTGTTCCAACCTATTACAAAATACTTAAGTTTAAGCCCTAATAGATCAAAGTTCACTACCATTTTACTTTTGATTCTAAAGTACTGCATCATTCTGACTGCAATAAGCTTTTGATGGAACCACTTTCAATTGTAAACCAACCTGGGCTATCTCTTCAGATGTGCTAATCATCCGTGCCCGGCTTTTCAAGTTTGTCACAACAGTGTCAACAGCCATTGTTATGCCACGCCTCAGGTCCATCGCATTCATTCCTGCAGCAACTGACTTGCATCCTTCTGTGAATATTGCTCGTGTAAGCACGGTCGCACAGGTAGTCCCTGCAAAAATGTCAAGAATTTCATGACTCGGCTCTCTACATATATAGACCACACGCATGAATTCAAATCTTAATGTATAGGGTGAAGAATTAATACATGCAAAAAGAATGCATCAATTCAACACTAGATTTAGAGATCAATAACCACAAGTATCTAAATCAGAGTGAAAAATTTAGAATGAATCTATAAATTAGAAAGAAAAAAAGACACTCGCTTCCTTACCATCACCCGCTACATCATTGGTGGCATTTGCAACTTGTTTCACAAGACTCGCACCAACGTTCTTGACTTTGTCTTTGAATTCAATGCTCTTTGCAACAGTTACACCATCTTTAGTCACTTTGGGGGCACCATAGCTTTGTTCAATAACCACATTACGCCCCTATCAATAAATGCATAGCTTCATTTTTTCATTCAATGATGAAGAAAAGGAAGAAACTGATTTCAATCAATGATCACCATCGGAATCATGAACTAATACGAGATGAAAATGACTCATATTGGATTTACCTTAGGACCCATGGTTACTCTAACAGCATCAGCAAGCTCTTCGACACCTTTAAGCATCAAAGCTCGAGCTTCAACCCC